TTTCAAATTTATTTGAATATAGGTTCTCAAAGTAGTCTCTGATGATTTCCTGGACTTCCATGGTGTTTGTTGTTATCTCCCCTTTTGCATTCCTGATTTTACTGATTTGGGTTTTTCTCTCCTCATTTTAGTCAGGTTTGCCAGGGGTCCACCGATCTTATTTTTACAAAGAACCAACTTTTTGTTTCATTAATTCTTTGTATGGTTTTTTGGATTTCTATTTCATTGATTTCAGCTCTTATTTTTATTATTTCTCTCCTTCTATTTGTTTTGGGATTTGCTTGTTCTTGTTTTTCTAGGAGTTTGAGATGTATCATTAGGTCATTGATTTGGGATCTTTCAGCCTTTTTAATATATGCACTCATGGCTATAAACTTTCCTCTCAAGACTGCCTTAGCTGTGTCCCATAGGTTCCGGTAGGTTGTGTTTTCATTTTCATTGACTTCTAGGAACTTTTTAATTTCCTCTTTTATTTCATCGATGATCCATTCTTCATTAAGTAATGAGTTATTTAGTTTCCAGCTGTTTGCATGTTTTTTGTCTTTACTTTTGTTGTTGAGTTCTACTTTTACTGCATTGTGATCAGATAGTATGCACGGTATAATTTCTGTTTTCTTATATTTGCTGAGACTTGCTTTGTGCCCTAGGATATGATCTATTTTGGAGAAGGTTCCATGGGCTACTGAGAAGAATGTATATTGTGTAGAATTTGGATGAAATGTTCTGTAGACATCAACTAGGTCCATTTGATCTATGGTATGTTTTAGATCTATCTATTGATGATAGTGGGGTGTTAAAGTCTCCCACGACCACTGTGTTAGAGTTGATATATGCTTTTAGGTCCTTCAGGGTATTTTTGATGAAATTGGGTGTGTTGACATTGGGTACATATAGGTTGATAATTGTTATTTCCTTTTGGTCTATTTCCCCTTTTATTAGTATGGAATGTTCTTCTTCATCTCATTTGATCAGTGTAGGTTTGAAGTCTACTTCGTCAGAGATAAATATTGCTACTCCTGCCTCTTTTCGGGGGCCATTGGCTTGGTAAATCTTCCTCTAGCCTTTCATCCTAAGCCTATGCTTGTTTCTATCGATGAGATGGGTCTCCTGTAAACAATAAATTGTTGGATCTTCCTTTTTAATCCAGTTTGTCAAATGGTGCCTTTTGATGGGGGAATTAAGTCCATTAACATTGTATTGATAGGTATGTGGTGATTCCTGTCATTTAGTTGTTTTAGTTGTTTGAAGGTTTGATTGTGTGTAGCTAAACTGATGTTACTCTCTACTTTCTTGCTTTTTCTTTTCCTATAGTATGGTGCTGCCTGACCTTTCATGGTTATGTTGGTTTCACTTTCTGTGTGCAGAATCCCTTGAAGAATCTTTTGTAGTGGTGGCTTTGTGGTCATACAGTGTTTTAGTTTCTGCTTATCATGGAAGACTTTTATTGCTCCATCTGTTTTGAATGATAGTTTTGCTGGGTAGAGTATCCTAGGGTTGAGAAATTATTTTCATTCAGTGCCCAGACCACCTCACCCCAAGCTCTTCTTGCTTTTAATGTTTCTGTTGAGAAGTCTGCTGTGATTTTGATGGGTTTACCTTTGTATGTTATTTTTCTCTTACAACCTTCAATATTCTTTCTCTAGTCTATGTACTTGTTGTTTTAATGATAATGTGTCATGAGGTAGTTGTATTTTGGTCAGGTCTGTTTGGAGTTCTGGAGGCTTCCTGTATCTGTATGGGTATAGCTTTCTCTAGATTTGGGAAATTTTCTGTAATTATTTTGTTGAATACATTATACATTCCTTTTTCTTGCACCTCTTCTCCTTCTTCAATGCCTGAACTTCTCTCTTAAGTCCTTTGTCCTTCCTGTCCGATCCTGCTCCCTGCTCCCTGTTGTAAGAGTCTGTTTCAGTGTGTGTGTGGAGGGGTGGATGAGAAACTTGCCCTTTCTGAAGTCTCAGCCTGGAAGCTCAGAGGTGCTCCCATGCTGACAAGCAAGGAGCCCTTCCCTCCTCACTGCCCCAAAGATCCTTTGAACAGCACCCTCCCCCCACAGTGTCTATTAAGGGTTGGGTGACACCTCTGCTCTCCTCCTGTCTTACCATAGACATTGGCCATGTCAATTAGAATGTAGGGGTTGGGTGAAATACCAGCCAGGCCCTATCAACCCAAATGGCCCAGTGATGACCTTTATCATTGATTATGAGGGCTCAGTTGCCTGTTCCACTGAAAAGGGAAAAGGACTCTGAATGTTCAAATGGATCCTGGTCAAAAAGATGCTAATAACCTCAGATCACATTTGAATGTGGGGCTTCACATGTGTAACCTGAGTATCACAGGGTGGGAGAGGAGGAAGCCTGCTCCCTGCTTGGAGCCAAGTTCACAGAAGCAGAGAATTTCATCACATTGTAATTAAGAGCCCTCAGATGTTCCCCCAAGCACTTCTGCTGCCCTGGGGCCCCAGCGAACACTGTGCTCTTCCTTGCCCCCAGAGCTACTGAAGCCCACGCTACCACCTCACTCAGGGTGCTCCTCAAATCCATTTTTTTTTTTAATTTGAGATATTTTACTGTGTAGCCCAGACTGGCCCCACACTTGAGATCCTCCTGCCTAAGCCTCTGAGTGCTGGGATTACAGGCATTAACTGCCATGCCTGGCTTTCAAGTCCTTTCTCACCCAATTCTCTGCCAAAACAAAACAAAACAAAACATGTCCTGCCTCTTTTTCTGGAAGCTTTTTCTCTCAATTCCTAGAAAACAGAAACTAGGGATTTTGGTGAACAAAATTCTTTCCCTTGTTAGATGTGTATACACATCACCTCTTTTAACCCTCAACAGACATTAAGTGGCAGGACCCAACAGGTCACTGAACCCCAAGTTAGATGCTTAGCAAGGTCATGTAATAAGTACTCAGAATGTGCTAATTCCCTCCCTTTCTCAGGCCATGCTGTGTCTGCTCAAGAACTTTTAAGGCTCCCTGTTGCCTAGAGCAGGGCTCAGTGAACTATGGCCTGTAGATCAAATCTGACCTGTCAACCTGTTTTGGCAAATAAAGTTTTATTGGAGTACAGCACAACCGCTTGTTTACGTATCTCCTGCAGTTGCTTTCATAGTGTTGAGTTGAATAGTTGCCACAGGGACTGTAGGGTCTGCAAAACGTAAAATATTTACTCTCCTACCCCTTACAGGAAGTTTGCTGAGCCCTGATCTAGAAAGTAAGAGCCAACAGCCACTGCATCTTATCCTCCTTTGAATCTGCTACAGAGCTAGTGTTCAATAAATAAATTCGAGTGAGTCCAGAGCACCATCTTGAGGCTTCAGCCTTAAATGGAGAGGTCCCTAGTCAGGCACCCCAACTTCCCTGGTCCCCAAACAGTGACTAACACCTTGTCCTTGTAGGTCACAGATTTTTCAGGACTGCTGCAGATGTCCCTGACTTCTTGCCTCACTGGAACCATCAGGGAAGTCAAAGTACGTAAGTCCACTGCCTCTCTACCCTCTTACACCCACATCTGAGAAAAAAAAATGACAGTCCTGGACGAGAGGAATGCCTCAAGTGGCAAAGCACCTGCCTAGCAAGTATGAGGGGCCTGAGTTCAAACCCCAGTCTACCGGGAAAAAAACTCCAAAAACCACAGATCTGTTTGCTGGGCACAGGTGGCTCACGCCTGTAATCCTAGCTACTCAGAGATCAGGAGGATCACAGCTCGAAGATAGCCTAGGCAAATAGTTTATGAGACCCTATCTCAAAAAAACCCTTCACAAAAAAGGGCTGGTGGAGTGGCTCAAGGTGTAGGGCCTGAGTTCAAACCCCAATATTGAAAAAAAAAATTGATAGTCCTTTTTTAGTGCACATGAAAATTTTGACTCCAACAAACAAAATTTTAATACTGAGCATGTTTTTCAGACTGTGCTTACCCTTCAGTTATAAAAACCATCGATCCTGTCCATCTTGGTCATTTCACCACTAGGGAAACTGAGGTGTGGGCCAAGGACTCAAAATACTCTGGGGGTCCTAGGGAGAGAGAAGCAGCCAGGCCCTGCAGAACTCCCGAGTCCCAGCTCAGTGGCAAGGTGTTCCTCTAAGGAACACCAGGGGTGGGGAAGGTGTGTGAGTGGCCATGGGCATGGGGGGCGGGAGGGCTCCCGTGCTCCCAAGGCCTCTTGCCAGGCCCCTCAGTGTTCACAAGCTAACCTACAGGGAGGTGTGATGTGGTTCTGAGGTTGGCTGGAGATAGGAATTCTGAGATCTAGGCCCTGGTCAGTGACAGGGAGGCCTAGAGTAAGGACTCCCAAAGGGATTGAAAAGTCCTTTTGAACCCCATGGCTATGGCATGCCTCTAGCTGGACTCCACCACCACCGGCTGCCTGCTCCTGTCATGCTGCCCACTGCCTCTCCTCAGCTCCTTAAGAGCCCCCCTCCACAGTCAGAGAATCACCGACAGAGGCCAGCCCATAGCCTATAGGCCCAACACAACCCACGTGTATTTTGTTTGAATACCACTATTCTAAAATACTTTGAATTAGTGTTGCTTGATTAAAAACCTGTAGGAATCACTTAAAATACTGGGTTTGTGACTCTCTTAAAGATTCTATGGAGTGCAATTGTAGGCCTGTGTAGTTTCTGGTGTGGCATCAACTGAACAGGGTGAAAACCTCCACCTAGATAAACAGTGGTCACACTGGATCTCCAGCATCCCCACCATTTCCTGTTATTACCTCCCAGCACTGCTACCCCATCCTTTAGCTGACCTGTCTGACCTTGGAAGGTGTTTGCATTTACAACTTAGTCCTGACCATTTTGATCTGAGTCCTCCCACCTTGAAACTGTCCCCAGTGATGAACCTATTGCACCAGCCTCTTGACCATCCAGTCCCTCAGCCCAGCCCACAACTGTCAGAGGACAGTGTGCCCCAGTGGCTGCCCCCAGCTCAGTCCTCTAGGACCCCCTCCCAAGCCCTACAACTCCCACAGTGGCCAATCCAACATCCTTTATTGGTTCTAAACAAGGACCCCTGCATTCTTATACTGAGGCAGGAGTTCTTGGATTTTGTATCGGGGTGCTGAGATGGCCTGGACAATCCTCAGTGGGGGGAGGAATTTCTGAGGTGCCAAAAACATGGGACGAGATGGTTTAACCTTCTTGTGTACACTACACAAATCCAGGATCAAAGACTTAGGGTTGTAGATCCCTTTCTTCTTGGGCTGGGTGGGGATGAATGGTGGTCTTTGTCGAGATTCCATCAGCAGCCGCACCAGGTCCTTCCGAAAGACATTCCAGCTGTTCTCCTTGAGGAACCTCTGGCACATGTCTTCATCACTGAGGGACAGACACAGGAGCTGAGCTCTTCAGCCAGCTCTTGCTATTATTCTCAAACCTTAAACACACAGGGCCCCATCCCAGCTCTCTGCCTTCCCCTCCCAGACTCCTCTCTCTGTGCCTCCTTTACCCTTCCTACAACCTTTCCTTAGAACCCGTGCTATCCCCTTCAGTAGCCATGAGCCACGTGTGGCCAATCTGAATTAGAGAGGTGCTGTGGATGTAATATGCATACCAGATTTCAATACTTACAACAACAGAGAAATGGAAAATGTCTCATTAATAATTTTGATCATTAATAATACTGATAATACTTTAAATACACTGGATTCAGTGAAAGAGTTAAATTAATTTGTTTCTTTTTACACCTTATAATAATGTGGCTATTGAAAAATTTAAACTACATATACAATCATTAACCATCAGAGAAATGTAAACCAAATCCACAATGAGACAGCACTTCTACCCCTAAGATGGCTACCATCAAAAAGAATGACAATAAGAAGTATTGCCGAAGATGTGAGATATTGTAAATGAGGATTGCAACACATTGCTTAAGGAAGGTAAAATGATGCAGCCACTTTGAAAAGTCTGACAGTTCTTCAGAACGTTAGACGTAGAGTTACCATATGACCCAAGAGTTTACCCCTAGGTGTATACCTAAGAGAAATGAAAATATATGTCCATACACAAACTTGAGAACATCTCTAACTCACAGGGGCCATATTTCAGGTACTCAGTAGCCATACTGGCTACAAGAATGTTCATAGCAGCATTATTCATAATAGCTAAAATGCAGAAATAACACAAATGCCCACCATATGACTCCATTTATAGGAAATGTCAAGAATAGGCAAACCTAGAGACAGACAGTAGGTGGTAGGTTGGTTGGTGGTTGCCTTGCATTGGTCATGGTGCTCTGGCTTTACACCGGCCCCACCCTCATAGCATGTGAGGGCCATGGGATGTGGTGAGGTGAGCTCAGCACTCATTGGCTCATTTCCTTCTGAGACCACAGGAAGGGAAGGGCATGTCGAACTTCCACTGCCTTGCCTGTACTCACCTACCCAAGGAGGCAAGCCTAATAATTCCCTAACAATCAGGAACGTTCTTCTGGCTAGATCATATTGACCAGGACAAAGTCAACTGTGATCCATAGAGATCAACCTAAGAAAAATCCTATAGGTCTGAATAGGCTACAACCTAGTCATTTTGGGCTCAGTGATGAATTTTGGCTCAAAGCCAGCTTCTAGCCTCTCAGGAATCCTGTTTGCACCTCTTCTCAGCTCCATGTTGAGTGATATCAGGTTGGTAGCTTAAAACCGCTGTGGTCGGTATATGATACTACAGAAATCAGCAAAAATTGCCAATCAGGGTTTCCTCCTGCCTCCTTGAGAGCTGGCTGTTAAACTTTACCAGCATATCACAGGACAGTCTCCCCTTAAAAAAGTTCCATTAACTCCCAATTTCCTCCATAATGGATAATGATACCTGACTCTGACCTAGTACTTATCACACTTTACACTGCTTTACTCATTATATTTTCATAATCACTCCCTTTCACAAACTTGGAATCTGGGCCTTGAAGAGGCTAAAGGGCTTGCTGAAACCTACAAGGGACAAATGTGATTACAAATTCTTAAGGGATAATTTTATTTTGGACCCAGAGTCTAAGTGACACAGACGAGAGACCTTTCGATGCTGAAGGGCACATTGGTTTCTAATCTACTTTTTCACTAAGCAAGGCAGCTCTCCAGAGCCTTGGCTTCATGCAGGGATCTAGTTCTAGTCCCCTGCCTCACTTGAACTGGAAGCTTCCCCTGTCCTTACAGGTCTTGACACTTCAGCCATGTGGCCCTTCACAACCCCGGCTCTTCCCACACAGCAATCCCAGTGTTAGATCACACTGTTTGCTTGGTTTGGAGGACCCTCTTCATTTTGGCCCTTGGGGATTCCCCTAACTTTCTTATAAATTCAGCTCTGTTTTGTTCTACGTCGCAAGCCCTGTGTTGTGTAGGGGTGATTTTTAAGTTATCTAGCCATGGCATTTATAGGATAGGTGCCTCTGCCACTGACTTTGTGATCTTCAGGACTCGGAGTCCTCAATTTAAGCTAGATAATGGATGCTTCCTGATTGCTTTAGCAGTCTAGCAAATCATGAGTTCAATAATTAATGAAGACAGAATCCTGCTTGTCAGCATTGTAGATGACGGCAGCAAAGTGCTGACTGTGCAGTGCAGGGCCAAGTGCTCAAACAACTGCATGTTCAAGTCTATGTGAACCTTTGTAAAATTTTAATTCCACTAACCACTGACACCATCACCAAATGCTTCACTCGAGGAGCTAAGGCTCCTACAGATCCTTTTTCAGGTAGGTAGGTCTGAATAGTCATTTTTGACATGGTAGCACCCAGGATCCATAGCAGTGATGCCTCTGAGCTGGAAGAAGTGCCAGTAACTTTCCACTTGTTTTTCTCACAAAATGGCCCCAATTTTGGCCATATCTATATATCCCCTGTTTTTTAATTAGCTTATGATTTTTCTTAAATCTATCCTATTTTTTTTAACTTAAATATCTATCTTAACCTCTGTCCAAATTTGATTAGCTCATCGTGTTGTTTTTCTAATTCACACTGGAATGCATACGTTAACTGTCAAAACTAAACACGTCAACCTATGTACCACCTAAAACTATCTTGTCAACCTTCTACAGAAGGTGTCCCACACTTTGGGAAATATCCATCTAGTCAATTTCTCTGGTTCTGTTGAGTGGATTCTACATACTAGAGAGGGGAAATGACTTTTTCAAGATCATAGAGCTATTATATTATATTTTGTTTTGAGTCAGGGTCTTTCTAATAGCCCACATTAGCCTAGAACTCACTACATAGCTCAGGTTGGCCTCAAACTCTCCATTCTCCTGCCTCAGTCTGTGAGTGCTAGCATTCTAAGTGTGGGCCACCACAGCCAGTTTATATTTTTTAATCTTATTGGATATGGCTACAAGATTGTACAGATCTGCCTGCCTCTGCACCTCCTCTTCCTCTACTGGTATCACCTCTTTGTACATCCATTGGCAAAGCTAGGTAGAGTATGTATACTATACCAAGGCAGAGTTTTAATATATACACAATTTTGTCCAGCCCTTTTCATGTACCACTATCTCACCCATTTTATCCTCTGGTTGTAAAGCCAATGAACTTACCAGTTTTTTTTTGGGGGGGGGAGGCGCCCAGGGGTTCAACTCAGTGAGGCTTCATGCTTTCCAGGTAGGCACTCTACCACTTGAGCTACTCTGCCAGCCATTTTTGTGTTGGGTGTTTTCAAGACAGAGTCTCACAAACTATTTGCCTCGGCTGGTCTCAAACTGCGATCTTCCTGATCTCTGCCTTCTGAGTAGCTAGGATCACAGGCATGAGCCACTGGCGCTTGGTGAACTTAACCACCTTAAAAAATAGTTATGTTGTATTAAGGGAATGTACCACCGCTTTCTAAACCGTCCCCTTAGTGTGACATATGTGGGTGGCTGCTGTTGTTTTCCTTTTTATTATGGATATGACTGCTATGAACAGCTTAATGCTTGTACCTTCCCCATATTTTGGATTCATAAAGACAAATTCATAGGCAGATCACTACAAAGGGGACAGCTTTATAGCCTTGAAACATAATGCTAAAATTGTCATCAAAAGAATTGTGTTAATTTAGAGCATGATAGCCACCTGTTCATTTTGCCCTTGTCAGCATTCGGTATTATGATTTTCTTTTCTTCTTCTAAATAAATAACAAGGGAAAAGCTGTTTGTTTGATCTGAAAGGACTTATACACATTTCCAGCACTGACCTGGGGTACTCAATCTCGGTGCTTGTCAATTTTTCTTTTGTCTCATCATCAATCAATTCACAAAATTTTTGTTTCCTCAATCGTATCAACTCTGCTCCCTGGCTCACAAGGATCAAGGGCCGCATGTCACGTTGGCTCTCTGGGAGAAAGGCCTGGTGAAAGCCCTAGAGAGAAATCACAGAAAGCTAGATCTCAGCAGATTTTCTAGATGGGAAAAATAAGATCTCAAAAGGAGAAAAGGCCATCTAGGGTCTGAGTGCTGAAGGACAGGGGCAGCCCAGGGCTCCTTTTGCTACATGCCATCCCAGTCCTCTGAGCCCTGGAATGAAGACCAGAGCAGTTTCTCCACTGTCCTAACTCTACACAGCGGGTCTGCTCCCAGAGCCACACACATTTTGTCTTATTTAATTATTGTTTTGAAATGGAGTGTTGCTGTATTGTCCAGGCTGGCCTTGAACTCCTGGGCTCAAGTGATCCTGTGTCAGCTTCCTGAGAAGCTGGGACTACTGGTGTGCCCCCAGCACACCTATCCCTCTTCTTTTTGCCAAATAAACCTATTGTCTCTTCCTTAAGACAAAGCGAAACAGCTTGTTCTGTTCTAAGCTGTGACTTTTCCAGCTGCCCCACCTCATCCTTTCCTGCAGGCTCCAATCTTCTCTCCATCCTCCACAGATTGGGGACTTCTGGCCCTCTTCCCTGCAGTCAACGTGTACCCCTGCTCTTTGGCTTGATTTATACCTGGGAGGGAGCTGGAGACCCCCAGGTCTGCCTGTTTGTTTTATGGAGAGTGCAAGCTCCCTTTTTGAGGAGATACTCTGGGGCAGACAGGGTGGGGATTAGAACCCATGTGTTGAACTCTCCAGTTTCCAGCTAATAATTAAGACCCCAGCAAGGAGGAGAGGGCAGGTTTGTGTACTCAGAGCTTCAGTGTCCAGTTATCTAGGACTTGAGAAGAAAAAGGAGCCCAAACCAAGAGACTTGATCTGTGGAGCACATGTGGGGTTGGGAATAATCATGTGCAGTCCATTGGCCATGAAGCCTGCCTGCTCAACGCCAGGCTCGCACGGAGACCAGATGGCTGCTCCTCAGGTAGCTCCTGCTGCATGGACGCAATATATACCAATCTAACTCTTACAGCTGCCTATAGCTTGGGGATTATCACCTTCAGATGAGGAAACGGTGGTTAGAAAAGGAAATTTAAGACCAAAAGGAAATAATAATCATCAACCTGTATGCACCCAATGTCAATGCACCCAATTTCATCAAACATACCCTGAAAGACCTAAAAGCATATATAAACGCCAACACAGTGGTTGTGGGAGACTTTAACACCACATTATCATCAATAGATAGGTCATCCAAACAAAAAATCAATAAAGAAATCCAAGATCTAAAATATGCAATAGATCAAATGGACCTAGTTGATGTCTACAGAACATTTCATCCAACTTCTACACAATATACATTCTTCTCAGCAGTCCATGGAACCTTCTCCAAAATAGATCATATCCTAGGGCACAAAGCAAGTCTCAGCAAATATAAGAAAACAGAAATTATACCGTGCATACTATCTGATCACAATGCAGTAAAAGTAGAACTCAACAACAAAAGTAAAGACAAAAAACATGCAAACAGCTGGAAACTGAATAACTCATTACTTAATGAAGAATGGATCATCGATGAAATAAAAGAGGAAATTAAAAAGTTCCTGGAAGTCAATGAAAATGAAAACACAACCTACCGGAACCTATGGGACACAGCTAAGGCAGTCCTGAGAGGAAAGTTTATAGCCATGAGTGCATATATTAAAAAGACTGAAAGATCCCAAATCAATGACCTAATGATACATCTCAAACTCCTAGAAAAACAAGAACAAGCAAATCCCAAAACAAATAGAAGGAGAGAAATAATAAAAATAAGAGCTGAAATCAACGAAATAGAAACCAAAAAAACCATACAAAGAATTAATGAAACAAAAAGTTGGTTCTTTGAAAAAATAAACAAGATCGATAGACCCCTGGCAAACCTGACTAAAATGAGGAGAGAAAAAACCCAAATTAGTAGAATCAGGAATGCAAAAGGGGAGATAACAACAAACACCATGGAAGTCCAGGAAATCATCAGAGACTACTTTGAGAACATATATTCAAATAAATTTGAAAATCTTAAAGAAATGGACAGATTTCTAATACATATGATCATCCAAAACTGAACCAAGAGGAAATTAATCACCTGAATAGACCTATAACACAAAATGAAATTGAAGCAGCAATCAAGAGTCTCCCAAAAAGAAAAGTCCAGGACCTGATGGATTCTCTGCTGAATTCTATCAGACCTTTAAAGAAGAACTGATACCAACCCTCCTTAAACTGTTCCATGAAATAGAAAGGGAAGGAAAACTGCCTAACACATTTTATGAAGCCAGTATTACACTTATCCCAAAACCAGGCAAAGACACCTCCAAAAAGGAGAACTATAGGCCAATCTCCTTAATGAACATTGACGCAAAAATCCTCAACAAAATAATGGCAAACCAATTCAACAACACATCAAAAAGATTATTCACCACGACCAAGTAGGCTTCATCCCAGGGATGCAAGGGTGGTTCAACATACGAAAATCAATAAACGTAATAAACCACATTAACAGAAGCAAAGACAAAAACCACTTGATCATCTCAATAGATGCAGAAAAAGCCTTTGATAAGATCCAACACCATTTCATGATAAAAGCTCTAAGAAAACTAGGAATAGAAGGAAGGTACCTCAGCATTATAAAAGCTATATATGACAAACCTACAGCCAGCATTATACTTAATGGAGAAAAACTGAAACCATTCCCTCTAAAATCAGGAACCAGACAAGGATGCCCACTATCTCTACTCCTATTCAACATAGTACTGGAATTCCTAGCCAGAGCAATTAGGCAAGAAGAAGGAATAAAAGGAATACAAATAGGTAAAGAAACTGTCAAAATATCCCTATTTGCAGATGACATGATCCTATACCTTAAAGACCCAAAAAACTCTACTCAGAAGCTTCTAGACATCATCAATAGCTATAGCAAGGTAGCAGGATATAAAATCAACATAGAAAAATCATTAGCATTTCTATACACTACCAATGAGCAAATTGAAAAAGAATGTATGAAACAATTCCATTTACAATAGCCTCAAAAAACATCAAATACCTAGGTGTAAACCTAACAAAGATGTGAAAGACCTCTACAAGGAAAACTATACACTTCTGAAGAAAGAGATTGAGGAAGACTATAGAAAGTGGAGAGATCTCCATGCTCATGGATTGGTAGAATCAACATAGTAAAAATGTCATACTCCCAAAAGTAATCTACATGTTTAATGCAATTCCCATCAAAATTCCAATGACATTCATTAAAGAGATTGAAAAATCTACCTGAAATTTATATGGAAACACAAGAGCCACGAATAGCCAAGGCAATACTCAGTCAAAAGAACAATGCTGGAGGTATCACAATACCTGACTTCAAACTATATTACAAAGCAATAACAATAAAAACAGCATGGTACTGGCACAAAAACAGACATGAAGACCAGTGGAACAGAATAGAGGACCCAGATATGAAGCCACACAACTATAACCAACTTGTCTTTGACAAAGGAGCTAAAAATATACGATGGAGAAATAGCAGCCTCTTCAACAAAAACTGCTGGGAAAACTGGTTAGCAGTCTGCAAAAAACTGAAACTAGATCCATGTATATCACCCTATACCAAGATTAACTCAAAATGGATCAAGGATCTTAATATCAGACCACAAACTCTAAAGTTGATACAGGAAAGAGTAGGAAATACTCTGGAGTTAGTAGGTATAGGTAAGAACTTTCTCAACGAAACCCCAGCAGCACAGCAACTAAGAGATAGCATAGATAAATGGGACCTCATAAAGCTAAAAAGCTTCTGTTCATCAAAAGAAATGGTCTCTAAACTGAAGAGAACACCCACAGAGTGGGAGAAAATATTTGCCAGCTATACATCAGACAAAGGACTGATAACCAGAATACGTAGGGAACTTAAAAAGCTAAATTCTCCCAAAACTAATGAACCAATAAAGAAATGGGCAAGTGAACTAAACAGAACTTTCTCAAAAGAAGAAGTTCAAATGGCCAAAAAACACATCAAAAAATGCTCACCATCTCTAGCAATAAAGGAAATGCAAATTAAAAGCACACTAAGATTCCTCCTCACCCCTGTTAGACTAGCCATCATTAGCAACACCACCACCAACAGGTGTTGGCGAGGATGCGGGGAAAAAGGAACCCTCTTACACTGTTGGTGGGAATGTAAACTAGTACAACCACTCTGGAAAAAAATTTGGAGGCTACTTAAAAAGCTAGACATTGATCTACCATTTGATCCAGCAATACCACTCGGGATATACCCAAAAGACTGTGACACAGGTTATTCCAGAGGCGCCTGCACACCCATGTTTATTGCGGCACTATTCACAATAGCCAAGTTATGGAAACAGCCAAGATGCCCCACCACTGACGAATGGATTAAGAAAATGTGGTATCTATACACAATGGAATTTTATGCAGCCATGAAGAAGAACGAAATGTTATCATTCGCTGGTAAATGGATGGAATTGGAGAACATCATTCTGAGTGAGGTTAGCCTGGCCCAAAAGACCAAAAATCGTATGTTCTCCCTCATATGTGGACATTAGATCAAGGGCAAACACAGCAATGGGATTGGACTTTGAGCACATGATAAAAGCTTTAGCACACAAGGGAGGGGTGAGGATAGGTAAGACACCTAAAAAATTAGTTAGCATTTGTTGCCCTTAATGCAGAGAAACTAAAGCAGATACCTTAAAAGCAACTGAGGCCAATAGGAAAAGGGGACCAGGAACTAGAGAAAAGGTGAGATCAAAAAGAATTAATCTAGAAGGTAACACACACGCACAGGAAATTAATGTGAGTCAACTCCCTGTATAGCTATCCTTATCTCAACCAGCAAAAACCCTTGTTCCTTCCTGTTATTGCTTATACTCTCTCTACAACAAAATTAGAAATAAGGGCAAAATAGTTTCTGCTGGGTATTGAGGGGGTAGGGGGGAGAGTTAGGGAGCAGAGTGGGTGGTAAGGGATGGGGTGGGGGCAGGGGGGAGAAATGACCCAAGCCTTCTATGCACATATGAATAATAAAATAAAAAAAAAAAGAAAAGGAAATTTACATGGCTCACAACCATGTATTTTATAATCACAGCAATGGCAATACTAATGATGATGGCGAAAGCACCAGCGAGCATTTACCAAGAATCCATTAAATCCCAGGTCCTCTGTGGCTTCAGATAGATTTACTTATGTAAGCTCCATAAACACCCAATGAGCACCTACTCAGCACAACAAAAAAACAGTCAATAAGGTACTGCCTATCATTATACTCATTTCACAGATGAGGATGCTGAAGTTAAGAAAATGTCCAGCATTTTCCCACACTAGAAGCATGAAAAAAATAAAGCTGGGATTTAAACCCAGGAGGTCTGTCTTCAGAGTCCATGCCTTTTTAGCCACTATAATATGAGGACACAGAGGCACAGAAAGATTGACATGCACAGTAACAAAAGAAAGAGTAGTAAAGCCAGGATGTGAACCAAGGTACCTCTTTCTTCAGGGGCAGCACTGTCCTGATTGGTATCTTGTTTGTCCTCTGGTCCTTCCCCAACACCCTTCAAAGAGTTTCCCAAAGCACCAGGGGTAAAACAAAATCCTTCAGCATGGCTGCCAAGGCCTTGGCTATCTGTCCCTTGCCACTTTATAGGTTGGCCTCATGCCACACCACCCTGGCTGTTCGGCCAGCCTGCCCTCCCTTCCAGTCCCTTTAACATGCCTCACCTCCTTCCTGTCTTTGAACTTTGCTGACCTTCTGTCTGGAACATTCTTTCCTCAGGTCATTCCACAGTTCTTTTTCATCATTCAGGTCTCAGCTGAAACATCACCTCCATACATCAGCTTTCCTTGACTACCCCACTTAAGAAGCCTGCCTCCCCACCGCTTTCTAGTCTATTCCCAACTACAATTTGCAGCTTTCATTTGCTAGTTTACCTGTTTATCATCTGCCCCACATCTAGATCTAAGCTCCATGAGGGTGGGAGTTGTGTTGGTTTTCACGCTCATGCTGGCATGCCATGTTTGAAGCATGGTAGATGCTCAAGAAATATCCACTAAATGAACACTCACACAGAGTCACAGAGTCACAGATTATGGCAAAGTTCCTCATTTTCTGATGATGACACAGATTCAGATGGGTAAATGATTTGCCCAAGTCATACAACTATTAAAAGCAAAATGAGAATAAGACCTGACAACTGTCACTTTTCTGCTGCCCTGCCCATGGCTCTGGCCTGCCCAGTCTTGACCCCATTTGAGGCTTTGGTCTGCCTGCTTCCTGGAGAAGCCGTTTTCCCTGCACCTCTTGGCTCAAGATCAGGCTCTCTCTGCTACAGGCCCCAACCACTGCTGAATTTCCAGGGCCAACCTAGCTCCATACTCTTGCTCCAAAGGATGAGGAAAATTCTATTTTCTGGTGGGTAGATACAGTCTGTCACCATTCCTTCCAACAAATGAAATCAGGTCCTTGAAAGCAGGAAAACAATCTTATCAAAGGCACCTTATGGAAACTTCCAGACATTTTCTTCAAAGGGATCATATGAACAAATATTTGTGGACACCTTCTATGTATGGCCCTGTGAGGGGAAAAGGCAGCCAGGTCCTTGTACTGAGCCCCACTCAAAGCCTTCTGGCATTTCCTAGGGAATCAAGGCCAAACTTCCCATTCTAGCATTGTGGTCCTCTATGGGAGGGACTCTAAAGTTCCTGCTCCTTACAGAGTCTCACCCCATCAAGCACCCTCGACCCAACCTATATGCCTCCATCCCCTCCAGGGAGATGGAGCATTCAGCTCCTCCACCTTGGCAATCTGTTTGTTCAGAGTGAGCAGCTCACTCTGGAACACTGACAAACTGCAGAAAAGCAAGAGTGAGAGGGCTGGAAACTACAAGACATGAAGAAAGACTAGAGGAATGGTGATGTTCCGCCTGAATAAGATTGTTAATGGAACACTGGCACTGTTCCTGGCTGCAGAAATGCTAAATGAAAACCAAAACAGCATTCTTGAAATATCTAAGGAGCTGTCACATGGCAAGGGAGCTGATTTCTTCTGTTCTGTTTTGGGAATGAGAGGGTGGGGGAAGAGCTAAAGTTGCAAGAGGCAGCCGGGTGCTGGTGACCCACACCTGTAATCCTAGCTACTTGGGAGCTGAGATCAGGAGGATCGAGGCTCCAGGTCATTTCAGGCATATACTTTGTGAAACCCCATCTCCAAAATAACCAGAGTAAAATGGACTGGAAGTGTGGCTCAAGTGGTAGAGTACCTACTTTGCAAGCATGAAGCCCTGAGTTCAAACTCAGTCCCACAAAAAGACAACAAACAAAACAATAACAAAACCCAAATAAAGCTGTAAGAGGCAGAGTTATACTGTACAAAAAGAAGAACTTCCTAAGAGCTCAACAACATTTAAATCAGCATTGATAGAGGGTTGTGTTAGGAATGGGGGCTCCCACACAGTACTGCATTGACCTTTCCGACACTCCAGCCAGTGGGAGAGGAGCATTCGCAACCCATGGTTAACAGAGGAAAAAGGGCATAGGGGTGACCTTGGACAGACTGTAACTGAGGCACAGAGGAAAGGGCCTGGTGATGAGGCAGGTTCCCAGGCTTAGGATGACCACACGTGGTGCTTCAGAAGACAGCCCCTCCCCAGGTAGACCAAGACTCAATGCTCCTCCCTAGAAAGCCCACCTGCTTATGTTGCTATCACTCAGCTTTGCACCCATCACCAGCCTCAGCAGTGGTCAATTCATGGCCAAGAGTGAGTATGAATGCATACTCACTCTTCCACTACTGTATTTTTTGTTTTGTTTGTTTTTGGGCAGTAATGGAGTTTTAACTCAGGGATTTGCACTTGCTAGGCTGGCACTCTACTGCTTGAGCCATGCCTCTAGCTCTTTTTGTTCTGGTTATTTGGGAGACAGGGTCTCACTTTTTGCCTAGGCTCAACTGGACTGGGGATCCTCCTATTTATGCTTCCTGCTGTAGCTGGGATGACAGGCATACTCACCACACCCAGCTTTTTCTGTTGAGATGGGGTCTTGTGAGATTTTTTGCCACCAGTCCCAAAGTAAAAAGGCCTGATGGAATAGCTCAAGTGGAAGAGTGCTGCCTAGCAAGTATAAGACCCTGAATTTAAACCCAGGTACTGCCAAAAAGGATTTGATATTTTTCTTGTGGTTATATCAGGTTATTGAGAAAATGACCACAGAGGTAAAATGCCATTTTCATCACCTCATATCAAGGGGCAATACTATCAATACAATTTATTACTTCTGATGGTAGCCTTGATCACCTGGCTGAGGTAGTGCTTCTTAGATCTTGCCCTTTTACATACTGTACTCTTTAGAAGTCACTGTGCACAGCCTATACCTGAGGTATGGGACTTACACTCTCTCCTGGAGGGCAAGGTAGCTACACAGAGTATTCTGAAGGGAAATTTGTCTCTTCTCCATTGATTAATTTATTCACTACTGAGTCATTTATATCAATATGTGAGGCACTGGTGGCTACACATGTCTGTATCCTAGCTACTCGGGAGGCTGAGATTAGAGGATCATGGTTCGAGGCCAGCTCAGGCAAATAGTTTTCAAGATACCATCTCCAAAATAACCAAAAAAGAAAATGGACTAGAGGCGTGGCTCAAGTGGTAGAGCATTTGCCTAGCAAGTATGAGTTCAACCCCCAGTACCACCAAAAAAAAAAAAAATCTAAAAAGCAAAAGAGCTGGGGGTGTGGATCAAGTGATAGAGTATCTGCCTATCAGGCACAAGGCCCTGAGTTCAAACTGAAGTACCAGCAGGAAAAAAAAAGTAAACAAAGTACTTAAATAGGAAGACATTAAATGACCAATAGTTATATGGAAAAATGCTCAACATCACTAATCATAAGGGAAATGCTAAGTAAAAATTCAATGAGATATTGAATCACACTGTCATAAATGGCAGTTATCAAAAAGACAAAAAGAAAGTAAACGTTGGTGAGGATATGGGCAAAAAGGAATGTTGGCAGGAATGTAAATTGATACAGCTATTATGGAAAGCAGTATGGAGGATTCTCAAAAAATAAGAAATAGAGCTACCATATGATCCAGCAATCCTACTTCCAGATATGTGTGCAAGGAAAGTGAAATCAGCATGTTGAAGAGTATCTGTAGGCCTTCATTGCAGCATTACTCATGAGAGCCAAGATATGAAATCAATCTAAGTTTCTGAGGTACTCTATGGCCCAGCAATCCTTTTTTGTGTTGGGTATTTTCAAGATAGGGCCTCATGAACCACTTGCCCTGGCTGACTTCTAACTGCGATCCTCCTGATCTCTCCCTCCTAAGTAGCTAGGATTACAGGTGTGAAACTATAATCAACACTATTTCTTAGTATCACCAAGTATAGGAGGGGTGTTTCTAATCCCCTCCAGTCATTACTCAACACTCCTAGCCCATTTGTTTTACACACTATATCATGAACAAAGCTCTTTGCACACTCACCACAAGTTCTCCTTGCTCCACAGTATGGATCTTCATGTAGACGCCCACCACAGCCTCCTTGGGAAGCTCGCCAAACTTGGTATTGACCATGGGACATTTGATTGATTGGGGATACTTGGATCTGAAACGTGACAGTTTGTTAAAGAGAACTCTTCTGTAACACAGCCAGCTCATGAGGCTCTACGTAATCAGCCCTTACTCTACTGCATACTGAGAGTTCCTCTCCTGGAGAATTCACACCTCAGAAGATGAGAGAACTCAAAATCAAGCTCTCAGAGGTATAATAGGGAAGAGACTTTAGGGAGGAAGGAGCTAGGATTCCTTTAAACCCCTGAAAGCTGTTACTTGAAGGGCTTATGATCCCATGCAGCTGAATGAGGCAGACAGAGAATTCAAGTCACCCAGGAAAGGATTGGAGCTCAGGATTATTTGATGCAAACTTCATATGGAAGAAGGAATTTCTAACAGTCAGAGAACTGTCTGAAAATGGAACAGGCTACTCTGACAGAGAGTAAGCTCTGTAACCCCAGAAACACAGCAGAAGTTGGGGCTCTTTTTGACAGGAAGGCAGAGAAGAAATGACTTATTTGTTTTTTCAGGCTTCCCTGGGTGGCCTGTAGCTGCTGAACCTTGTTCATATTGGGGTTAATTTTATACAGACAATCCTGTTGTACTTTCTTTGATCTTTGTTTAAGGAAGAAGGAAGAGACGGGTTGTGCCATTTGCATTAGAGGTTAAGAAAAAGATTATTTACCAGCTGAGAAACCAGCTGGACTCAATACATAAACAAGACACGTTTCAATCCCAACCCACCAGGAAATTACTTGAATGGCACATGCCCAGCATATTCTTCCATGTTTTACTTCTGGATCCAACTTTTCCCTTTTCCTTTATTGATTCATAGCAGAGAAGCTGGGTTCTGTTTCATTTCTACCTTTGGAAGATCAGGGATCAGGATTCTATGTACTGGGTTCCTTGGACAGAATATATATTGGAAGAAAAAACAACTCTGAAGTCATGGGATGCTCATTATGAAGGTCAGCAGCTTGGAATGTTAGTGGGCAAAGTGAAGAGACCCTAGGGAAAGCAGAGATGTTGTGACATTGATGCCATTATTAGTATTCTTATAATGCTCTAATTTCAAATTTAATGGGAGGAGGGGGCTCATAATGCTCCAGGCCCAGCACTGAGTGTCCTTTTCCACACCTCATCCTCTCCAAGAAAGACAAAGTGCACCAGTAGCTCATGCCTATAATCCTAGCTACTTGGGGAGACTGAGATCAGGAGGGTTGAGGCTAGAGAACAGTATCGGCAAATAGTTTGTGAGACACCCATGTCCAAAATAACCAGAGCAAAATGAACTGGAGATGTGGCTCAAGTAGAGCATCTGCTTTGCAAGCACAAGATCCTGAGTTCAAACCCCAGTCCCATCCAAAAAAAAAAAAAAGTACAGCCCTCAATGTGAATCTGTCTCATGCTAGTTGTGATAACTGTATTGTATAACAAGACTGAGAATTAACCAGCTATTCAGCTTTGAATCCTGGCTCTACTCTTTCCTACATATATGACCTTGAACAAGCATTCAATCTCTGTATACACCTTGGTTTTCTCACCTGAAAAGTGGAGGTGATACTAACAGTACTCCTAGGGTTATTTGTGAGGATTAAATTAGATAATTCAGTACCAGGCACAGAAGCATTCTGTAAGTGTTAAGTATAATAATTGGTATCTCATTTAACTGGCTTGCAAAAACTCTGAGACTTAGGAACTATTATCTATAGACAAATAAGGCTTGGAGAAGTCAAGTCTCCTGCCCATGGTAACAAAGGCAAAATAAGTGGCCAAGTCAGGATGTAAACCTGGGTTGGACTGATCGTAAGTCAGACTCTTACTTCCTGTACTACAGCTGCCTCCCTTAGAGGCACAGGAGCTTCTGAAGAAGCTCAGAGTCAAAGGGTCCAGCAACACATACAGAATGCCACAGCCTGATGATCTTTCCTGCTTCTCCTTCCTTACATGACTTACTGAGGCCCTGAGAAAAGAAGTAGCTAGAGGCAGAGAATGCAGATCCCAAATATCAAACCTAGAACCTCTCTAGGCTACCCCACAAATGTGCCACCCCTCTGGAATTGACCTATCTGCCATCTCTGCTACTCTCCTTTGCATCTCTGACATTCTGCCATTAGAAGTCATTGCCCCCTTTACAATCACATCCAGAGGGATGGGGGTAGAACACCTGCCTAGCAAGCACAAGGTCCTGGGTTCAAAACCGATGGCTGAAAAAAATAAAAAGAAAGAAAGAAAGAGAAGAAAAGAGAAGAGAAAAACCCCAAATACATCCAGAACCTTCTATTTGCTAAGAGTTGAGCTTACTTGATCTTCGGGCCCAGCATTTTGGGAAAGCTATTTTCTGAGGTTTCAAGCTTCTCACTTAAACTTGTCCCCTGTTGCTCACAGGCTTTCTGGAGATGCAGAAGTTTCAAAGGGCTGAAGTCCTGCAGAGGATATGATTTGATCCGGAATTCCTTAAATCTCTGTGCTGGAGATGGCTCTGTTAGAGAAAACACAGGAAAGCATGTTAAAAGGTCTTTGCATATGTGACAATGGTGGAAGTATATCATAGTAACCTGCTTGAATAGCTTGGCACATAAAGAAAATTGAAAAGAAAATCACTATGCCATGTCCCTCTGTGGAGGGCCCCATGCAAGATCTTTCCATCTGTTACATCCAGACAAGTGTGATTAGACAGAAGAGATAAGATGAACATCAGACAGTTCAAGTCACCCAAAAAAGGACTGAAGCTTGGATCTGAACTCAAGTCTATTTGATTCAAAGCTCTTATCTTTCCATTAATAGATCATATTTGCCTTGGTTTTCAGTCTGGGTTTTCAAATTGGGGCAGAATGGGAGTTTAGTGTGGTGGTAAAGTACTTGCCTAACATGAACAAGGCTGTGGATTTGATTCTCAGAACCACTGAAATTGGGGCAGGAGTAGCAATAAAAGATATATGGATGACTAACCATAGAACTTTGGGCAAGTTACATACTCTCTTGGAGCCCTGACAGAACTATTGTAAGAATTACAAAGTAACAGAGGGGGTAAATTTGACCTACGTACATTATTTATCACAATGAAACCCCTTTGTATAATTCACTTACACTAATTTAAAAAAAGATTAAAGTACCACTTGCCTAGCAGAGTGCTTGCATATAATAGAGCCTCAGTGAGAGTAACTGAAAAGATCTCCAATACTACTCAGAAATAATGAGCAAACCAACTACTCAAAAATACTATGCTTAGTGCAAGAAGCCAAAGAGCTGAAACTGCACGATTCCATTTATGAGACGCCCTAGGCAAGATGACAGAAAACAGATCACTGGTTGTCTAGGGCCCCAGGAGAGGTGGAGGCTGACTAGGAAGGGGAACAAGGGAACTTTCTGGTGATAAAAATGTTCTGTAACTCGACTGTATGGTTACATGGAGGTATGAATTTGTCAAAATTCATTGAAATGCACATTTAAAATGTGTGCAACTTTATAGTATAAAATTATACTTCAATACTGATTTTTTAAAAGAAATGTTAACAGAAATAAATTCAAACTCCACAAGGAGTAGGCCTAACTGAGTGAATGCTTATAAAAAATGCACCCTGACTTATTTGTTTATTTTTGGTGGTGCTGGAGTTTGAATTCAGGGCCTCACACTTGCTAGGCAAGTGCTCTATCACTTGAGCCATTCTGCCAACCAGGTCTGACCTTTTTGAAAGGCATTCTGGCAATATCAATATTTTAAGTGTACACAGCCAGTATGCACTACATCTTGATCTAGTAACTTAAAATAATTTGTCTAATGCATTTCCTCATAAAGAATACAAAGATAAACCCACCAGGACTTTACCACAGTAGAATGAAAAACTGTACAGTGAAAAATTGAAAATAACTCAAAATATCTGTAAAAGGTAATTAACTATGGCATATCCATATAATAGGATAAAAGCCAGTTACTAAAACACATGGGTTTTTATGGGTTGGAGGTGTAGCTCAAGTGGTAGAGCGCCTGCCTACCAACTTGAAGCCCTGAGTTCAAACCCCAGTACCACCAAAAAAAAAAATAATAATAATTATAGACTTCTGCTTCCAGCCAAGATAGAATAACAGGGACCAGAGGTTGCTCCCATCTGAAACTACTGAAATATGGACATGATGTATGAAAATGGTTTTGAAGACACTGACACCAGGCAATGAAGGACACCTTGCAAGACAGAAAACAAATATGATGAGCTCTACTATTGCCCCCAGACTACTGCCTGGAGATTTCTTGAACTGTGGCACAGGGAGGGGAAGCCCAGGTGAAGTCTATCAGTCTCTTTGAATTAATGAGATAGAACAGAGAATCAGGGGAAGGGAAGGCAGCTTAAGTTCATAGAGCAGAATACCAGAGAGGAGAGAGCTCCACAAAGAAAGAACTCCAAAGCTCTGCAGGGGCCTCCCCTTGAGGTTAGGCTGAGCACTGACCAGTCATGTGCACTAGGAAACTGCCTGTGGTAGGCAGCCTCCAAGATGGACCCCATTCATTCCACCTCTTGGTCACACACTTGCATATAACTTCTCATGAAGCGTGAGCAAGGCTCACTTTGAAAGAACAGAATTCAACAGAAGATACTTCAGAGATTAGGCTACAGAAAGACTACATTTTCCATCTTGGACATACTTTTGCTTGCTCCTTCTCATTCTTGGGGAAGCAAACTACCATTCATGAAATAGCCCTGTGAACCTACCCCTGAGGCCAGGAACTAAAGCTTGCCAGTAGCCATATGAGTGAATTTAGCAGTGGCTCTTTCTCAGTTGAGCCTTCAGGTAAGATCATAACCTTGGCAGACAACCATAAATTCATAAGAGATCTGTTTTGTTGTTTTGAGTCACGGTCTTGTTTTGTGGCCCAGGTTGGCCTCAAACTTATGATACTCCTGCCTCTGCCTCTAGGGTGCTGGGATTATAGGAGCTGTGTACCACCATGCCCAGCTTTATGAGAGATCTTGAGACATAGGCACAAAACTAAACCATACCCAAATTTCTGACCCATAAAATCAGAACTTACATAGGACCAGAAATAGTTCTCACCAACATGAATAGAAAACCCTCCTAAGTACAGTAAGTCATGAGTACTGTAGAACACTAAGAATGAGTTTACATCATGAATGAGAAAAATTAACTGTATACTGAATATTGCACTGACCCCACCAACAAAGCTTAAAAGTTAGCCTTGAAAAGATCAAAATAGGGCTGAGGGTATGGCTCAAGTGGTAGCATACCTGTTTGCCAAGTGTGAGTTCAAATCTCAATAAAAAAAAAATCAGAGAAAAGATTGAAATATTTCCAAGTAATTTAACCTCATCCTTGAATAATTCCCAGGAATATTTATAGGAATGATAAAATATGTAGCATTCAAAATTTGTGTTTGTCTGGTATCCTATTAAAAACTACCAAGCACAAAAAGAGGTAGGAAAATATGCATATCATATGAAGAGAAAAATGATGAACTGAAACTGGTCTAGAAATGACAATGATGATAGAATAAGTACACAGGACAATAAAACAGCTGTTATAACTATATTCCAAAGAAGAAACATTGGATGTTTTAAGTAGAGACATGGAAATTATTTTAAAGAAGAACCAAATCAAACTTCAGAATATGAAAATTACAATGTCTGAAATGAAAATACACCAGATGGGGGATGATAGAGTGGCTCAATTGGTGGAGTGCCTGTGACTGCCTAGCAAGCATAAGGTCCTGAGTTCAAACCCCAATTCTGTCGGAAAAAAAAAAAGAAAGAAAATATACCATGTGGGAGTAATAGCATATTAGACAATGTCAGAGAAAGATTAGTAAACTTGAAGTCATAGCAATAGAAACTATCCAAAACGATAGGCAAAAAAAAAGATTTAAAAAGTTAAATAAACACAGCATTGTTTACTTACAATAGTGAACTGTGAAACAGTTTTAAGCAGTCTTACATACATATAAAATTGGAGTTCTCCAATAGTGGGGAAGATGGGAGACAGAAAAATATTTGAAAAAATAATGGCCAACATGGGTGCTGGTGTCTCACCATCTGTAATCCTAGCTACTTGGAAGGCTGAGATTGGGAGGACCAAGGTTCGAGGCCAGCCAAGGCAAATAGTTCAGGAGCGCCCATCTCCAAAATAACCAGAGCAAAATGAACTAGAGATGTGTCTCATATGGTAGAGTACTTGCTTTACCTTGAAAACCCTGAGTTCAATCCCCAGTTCCACCATAAAAAAGCCCAAAATTTCCAAATCTGATTTTAAAATATTAACCCAGAGATCCACGAAACTATGAACCCCAAGCAAATGAAACATGATAAAACTACAACCAAAGCACAACATATTAAATGCACTTAAAGTACTGATATGAAAAATTTTAAAACCAGCGAGCAAAAAGGTACATTGTGTATAGAGGTGTGGTACAGTTAATACAAAAATAAGAACATTAGCAATGCTGCAATGTTGAAAGCAATGCAAGCCAGAAGACAACTTGAGTGCAACATCTTTAAAATATTGAAAGAAAATCTCTTCACCTGGAATGCTATACTAGGAAAATTCCTTTTAACATGAAGAACTGAGCATTAATAAGCACGTTTGTAAATGCTACAAGGTACCCCCAGTACAACAATAATATGATAATAAAAATAAATTTATAAAAAGCTTCTCTTTTCCAAAACTTTTTTAGTGTACTCTTGGCTACCAGACTGTACAAGTACAGAATAGAGAAAGGATGAAAGAACAATAAAGGAATGATTTGAAAAACAAAACAAACAATGGAGATGAAATTGTTTTCAGACAATAGAAAAATTCACCACCAACAGACCAACTATAAGAAACGTTAGAAATGTGGATCTAAAAGAGAATAGAAATCTATATACAAAGGAATGAAGAGTTTAAGAAATGGTAACCATGTAAAGTAATATACAGGACTTTTCTTATTATTTAAATAGATTTAAAATATAATTGTTTAAAGCAAAAGTAATAATGACATATTGTAAAGTTCTTAAAATTGTGAAAGTAGTATACATGACAGCTCATTATCTTAGAGGTAAGAAGTGGAAGTGTACTAATGTAAGGTTCCAATTCTATATGTGAAATGGTACTATATACTTGAAGGTAGACTGGGATAAATTAAAGGTATATACAATAAATCATAAAGGAATCACTAAAATAATACAAAAAGAAATAGCAAAATGAAACAATGAAAGTTTTTAAGCATAAAACAAAATGTTTTAAGTAGAAGAAAAAAAACTTGGAGAAGAAATAAATAAATACAAACCAGTAATATCACCGCTGAAAAAAAAGAAATGGCAAATAGGCTAATGAAGAAAATAAAATTAAATCTGACAAATTTCCAAAACCAGGGGCAAGGAAATGGAACAGGTGGGACACAATAGAAAAATAAACAAGCAAAGATAGCAGAGTTAAACCCAAACCACAATCTATAATATGAAAATGACATCTTAATCAAAAGGCAGATAATTA